GTGGGTTAAGGATCTGGCTTTTATCGCAACCCCCTTTTCCTCTCTTGTTACATCTGAGGATTGTGAATAAAAGGAGATAAAGAGCGGTCTCATATCGAGTGTCGAAAGCTAGTAAAAGCTATATCTCCAACTTATATTCTACAAAACTCGCATAACCATCGAGATCGATGCGCTCCAACTTTATCAAGCGTTACTTCCTCGCTTGAGTATTCTTGTGCAATGTAAGATGATCTTCATGGATTTACTTTGAGTTGAGAAATTTAACCATTTTGGAATTCGATGTTTTGAATTCTATTGCGTCGGAGGCGGCAATCTTGTGCAAGCCTCTAAACACTTTACAATATGAAAGAGAGAGAAACAAATATTTCAAATAAACAAAATGTGTCTAAAAATCTGAACTGGCAGGAAGCAGACCAGTTAGCTATTAACACAGCGCAGCTGAGCAGTTGAACTCGGGGCGACCAAGAACAACTTCAGTGAGTGTCAGGGAGGAAGACTTGAACCCAGAACTACCATACAGCACTATTTAAATTGTAAATTGAATTAAACTGAACTTCCATTCAAAAGAGAAATGTCTTTTTAACGTCCTGGACGTCCAACTAGAAATAATTGACTTTAATTATGGCGACGTTCACCGTGAAAGGGTATGTGATGCCATAGGAAGAAATCAGTCGTCATCTGCCCTGAGTGTTGATAATTTGAACCATAATCCGAATAAAACCTAATAATTAAGGCCAAAAGTAAACTGACGCGAGAACTTTAAAGAAAGGCGAGCGAAATTCGCGAATTTATGAATATGAGATACCAAAAAATGATAAAGCAAACATGTATCAGCAAGTTGATTTGAGACTCTTTAATCACTCTTCAGTAAGAATCATTCCCTCCCCTTTGTCTACGATGGCATTTCATTTTCAAATGTCCTTTTACGGAAATTTCTCTAAGCTACTTGGAAACTAACATCAGAAGAAGAAAGGTAAAATAGTTCACTTTCTTCCGGACTTCCAACACTTCCCTTGACATACTCCAAATACAGGTCTACTGCAACAGTGTATTCTGCGGCCTTAGTAGTGTTGTATTCAGAAGAAAGATCGAACTTTGATGAGACGGTTTCTCCAGGAGCAATGGTCAAGAAATCGCTCGCAGCTGGATCTTCACGCTTCATTCTGATACCTTGTGGACTCAGCTCTTCCCCGTCTCGGCTGACAGTTAGACCGTCCAGGGCTAAGTCGTTCAGCGGTGTATTCCATTTTAGCACCGAATATGCGCTTTCACCGTTGTTTGTCAGGCTGAAGTCGCACATAACTTCGTCTGTAGTTTTGTAAGAGGAAAGACACTCGATGGAAGCAGAAAATAGTCTGAACAAAAACAAATATTTATTAATATGAATTGAGTTTTCAAAATATTGGAAGACAGTTTTCAAACGGTTGGGTTTCTCCTGGGAATCTTAACAAGCCGGTATAGGTAGAGTTTTGCAGACATTTTTTAAGAATAAAGACAACACGTTATATTTTTGTCACGTTTCAACACTTCTATTGTCATCCTCGGTTTTTTAACGCAGAGTAAAACGTTGAAATTTTAATGTTATACAGAACACTAATTTGTAATAACCTCTAAAGGACAAAGTAATGCTAAGAAGATAGCTAATGATTTAATTTAATGCGTGTTGCGTGAGGGAAAATACCAATTGTTTACGCAGAAATAAAAGGCATTAGAGCTGACGCACATTACAGCCCTATCGGGATAGAATCTTTCATGACAAACACATTACCGATTTCGAAAGATCAAAATGCTTCTTGATGTCTAAGCTAATAAAATTTTGATGATACGACTCTCAGCTCATACCTTTCCCTTAAGAAGTGACTTTTTTTTCTTTCCCAACTTCATTTACCACTTACATATTTATTCTATATTTTCACTTACTGCACATCCCGTGCATCCTCTGCTTTCGAATGTGCTGCTGATGCAGCCACAAGAGTTGACCAGAGTAAAAGCTTTGCAGTCATCAGGATTTTCATCTAAAACAATAGGTATATTATGAAGATTAAATGAGCAGATTGTCAATGTTACGAACACTGAAATAAGGGCACTTTTCTTTACATAACGAAATTAAAACACCGTTGCCTTGAAAAGCATAATTTAACAAGGATTTTTTTCAGGAATATCAAAAATCACAGGGTGGAATTTCTAAACCAAAAGTTTCAAGGACTATAAGTTTTGAATAAGAGAGATCGAAAAACAAAAACGAAAAATGATTCCGGAAACTGATGGAAAAAAAACTTGGGCTTTTGAAGTTTCATAAAAAAACCAATAAGGGAGGTTGAGTCATTAAGGTGTACTGGCCCTAGAAAAAGGCTGATTGAAATAAAATAATTACAGTCACGAAATAAATAATGTTTTTTTGTTCGGCTTTAGACAAGGGCAGCTGAGTTAGAACCTCGTCAACATATGGAACTTTTCCCCTCCAAAGTATCGCTTAAAGTAGGACCACGTTTGAAAAATGCAACGAAGAAGGTCTTTTCAAAACTTACTATTACCAGGAAAGTTTAATCCAAAATTTATCATCCCTGTTATGATTACGAACCACTAATAATTAAATGACTGGTTTTAAAGTAAGCTTAAAAAAAACCTAGGAATCATGGCGAGCTTTGAGTACAAATTGAATTGATGTCACTGGCCGTAGGAGGATTAAGGGCAAATTGTTTTGAATCATTGGCAGGATACAATTGGGAATTAAGATAACATAAAATTGGTTAAACACAAAGTATCATGCGAAATGAGGATTGCTAAAGTACCGTTTTTCTCAATTTAAATTCCACGAAACACTTTCCATTAAGTTACAATTAGCAGCCCGAGTACGTGGCTAAAAACTGTCAATGGCATCTCTTGCATTTTTTTTTATTAGTGATTTTGAATTTGAAATTTGACCTGGCGTCGAAGAAGGCTAGGCGCAGTTCTCTTAGAAACATTTCATGAAGACATACTTGGCAAACCGACCATGCGACTTTAAAAAACAGATCCTCTAATTAATAATAATGTTCCTTCAAAATTTTCGCTCAAAGTCAGCCTCATACTGTTGATATCAGTTATCTGAAAATATTCACCTCATACATAACTGGCATGAAATGGTATCTCGTACACTTTTTTCGGTGATTTTTTTATTTTACGGTTGACGCTGACGCGTGCGTCGATAGACGCCTTTCGGAAGTGCGACAGGTAACTGAAACTAGGTGCAATTTCCTTTCATTTCAAAACTGTTGCATAAAGCCCTCACCAATACTGATACAAACTATCTGAAAGCATTCACTGTATACCTAGGAAGGAAATTGCAAAACTGACGGAGGAATACCGATAACTAAAAAGTTATACGTAGAATTGTAGAAGAGGAAGTTACAAACGAAACTGCTTGGTTTATTGGCGTATTAAAAACAACCATTAAGGGAAAATGAATAAGACATCTACTCTGAGACGCAGATTCACCGTTGTTACGCAAAAAGAAAAAATGCCCTGAGTACAGCTTTTCTCTCCAAAGTGTCTCTCAAGGACTCGGTACACTTTCTATACAGTTACCACTACATTTACCCAAGAAGTAGCAGAAAACCCGGAAGGGAATTTCTTATACTTTATCTTTGTAGTAGTTGAATTGACACTGGAAAACAAAACCTATAGCTAAAACTAGGCGCAGTTTCGTTTCAAAATCCAGATCAGAGGACTTTCTTGAATAAAAGGCTATTCGTGAAATACTTTATAACAAAAGCTCTTAGAAAAATAATGTTTGATTACAATATTGTCACTTAAAGCACTGTGTGCTGTTAGTATCAATCAAACGGATTGGGAATGTAGAAACCAATTCTCAATATACATTAGCAAGAAAACATATCCTCTTGGTTTTAAAAGGCATGAAAAAATGGAGCGTTTGCCTTTTTTCGTTTCGTTAAGAAAACATAAAAGGATATTGTTTGAGTACTTAAAATTAATTAAAGTTACTTTTTGAAACATTTGTATCCTTGGACACAGCGCCGTTGTTATGGAAGAAAGAATGCTTTTGTCAACTCTAATACCTGATCTTTTAAGAGTCCATTTTGTCGCCTTTGTTGGCTCTTTTTCCTTGTTCGATAATATAGTTCGTTGCCTAAAAAGCACAAAACTAGGAGGTAACTGAAACTAGCCGATGAGAAATAATCTTTCTTTTTTCTGATCTCGTAAAGGCATAAGGGAAAATACGTTAAACAACCGCGCACACAGCAGCAGATTTCTCAGACACATCATGGTTGCTATGGGAAATGATGAATGCGTCACGAAACTGCTTGCCTTTCATTAGTCAGGTGTTCCTCAATAAAAGTGCTGCTCACACTTTGGGGTTATGAGTTGTGCCACTGAACTTATGCGAAACACAGAGCTAGGTAAGCTATCTCTAGTCTCATTTAAATGTTATTTAATTGTTTACAATATCATACACTACATGCTATGCTATGCTAAGGGCTATGCCTTTTCAATTTCTTTTCATAAAGGATATATCACTCACAGTCTGGCTAACGATTACTAAAAAGTTCTCTTTCTTTATAGTTCGCCATGAAGTTTCTATGGATTCTTTTGATTTGGGGTCTGACGAATGGTATAGAAAGCGCTCGTCTTCACACCTCTGGCCACAGGTAAAGAGGAGGCTTCTTCTATCGTAGAAAATTAATATATAAGGATTCAACAAAAATACAGCTTTCCATTCGAATTACCGGTACCCATAGAGGGGAATGCCAAAGACCAGATCATTCTATAAATCAATGTAAGGGTTCTGATCACTTGATGAGCTCCATGGTATTTTATCTACTACGCCAAGACAAGTGTCAGATTAACGTTTTCTTTCGTATTTGCTTTTGTGTGTGGTGGAGCAATGAAAACGTAAATGAAGCCAGAGCTACAACTAATGATTGGAGTTATATTTTACGCAGGATCTTCTCCTCCCGGCTCCTTTGTGCACCGAAATATCGAACTACTGGCAAGATTGAATGTCAGTTCCATTTGAGAAACAACGGTAAACAAGACTATTTAGTCCTTAAATGGCGTACACCGCTGGATGGACTGAGATCAGATTGTCTGACAGTCACTACCAATGGCAAGAAGCTACAATACGATGGTATTTACCCGAAGCGCTCCGCTCCAGGCCCTGATCAATACTTGCTCGTCAAAGCTGGACAAACGGTGTCATCTACGTTCGATGTTTCAGATGCGTACGACATGACTAAAGCCGGTCTCTACTCTATAGCAGTGGACACTTACTTAGAATATGTAGCGGGTAGGTTATCTGACGTGCGGTTTACCCAAACTGAGATAGAACACTTATCTTCCCCTGCTGTAAGTTACGAAGTTTCCAAAGGAAGCTTCATTGAGGGAACCTTCAGCGAAAGAGCGCGCCCTCTCAAAAGAACAAATCAATATTCCATGAGAGGTTCTTCTTCGGAAGACGAGTCTTGTCCCAAACTGGAGCATTTTGTGGGAGTGGCGCCCGAAGCCTTAAAATTAGAAACAAAAAAAGCCTTCGAGGCTGCGGTCCAAAACATGAAATCAGCCATTAAATGTCTTAAAGATAATCCCGCAAAGGGAAAACCTTGGTTTGGTACAGCCACTGAGGACGCAAAAATTCTGTTGAAGAAAACTGTTGCAATAGTAGATGACAACTGGCATAAAACGTTTCATTTTGGAGGGGATGAATGTTCAAACGAAACCCTGGCATACAGTTTTCATGGAGCTTGCACTTTTTACCTCTGTAAACTGTTCAGCGACCAGAAAACGGAAACTGGTTATTACAGTAAAATGGGCATTATAGTTCATGAACTGACACACGCCATAAGCAACACCACTGATGACGAGCACGGCCCAATAAGGGTACAAAAACTCGCCAAAGCCAGTCCTAAACGCGCTGCCTTAAATGGTGCTAATTTTGCGCATTTTGTGGAAAGTTTAACCATCAGTAAGTCATGCAAAAGTTTCTGATCACTTGGCAAGGTTTGGATATTGTTCGAAAGAGGTTCGATAATAGTCCAGAATTATATGTAAGGCTGGGGATTAAATGATTGAGCTTAGGTAACGAAAAGGGTTAAGTAGGCCGGCTTCCATTTAGATCAGTATTTAAAACGATGTAAGCCTTTTAAAAGGCGTTGCTCTGGAGATAAGGGAATAAAAGTTGTTGGCGTTTAAACGATAACGTTTCAGTTTTTCCTTCCGTTTCATGGGGAGATGTCTAAGCCAGGTAATCAAATATCGAAAAATATTCTTCCAGGCGATTATCGTATGTGGCCTTGATTAGGTAAACCTCATAATACGTCTCTCTTGAATAGGCGTCAGGGCAGGAAAACTGTGGAAAATTGTGACTACAGACATGGAGCACCTAAAATCGAGAGGTTACTTAAGAAAAAAAGGGCAAACAATTTGCTGGGGTGAGAAGAAACACAACTGTCAACCTTTATTAGATCCTAGTTGGGCGCTGTTAGAGGGTACTTCTTTCCTACAACGGAATCTGATCACAATTTTCTAGCAAAGAAACAATCTTCCCATTCCTTTTCGTTGATTCGTATCAGGTTAAAGATAACAATGATCCGCACAATAAAATTCAATTTGGAGTTTTTTTTGTTCTAAAATTTCCAAGTGTGTGAAGTTTTGAGTGTCAGTTATGTCTATTTGGCTAATGACCAAGATATTTGTGTTTCAAAGCTCTCCTTTCTGTTGCAAATAACTTAATTTTTTCATAAGTTTCATTATAAACCATGGAATTTATGCATTGAGCACGTTTATCACTATCAACTTACCTTCTTCTTTTTTTTTTTCTTCGTTTAAGAACAGACCAGTTGTAGTTGAATGACTGTTGAACCGTCGAAGCTAAGAGTCAGCTTTGAATCACTGCTCCTATGAAAAAAAATGGTTATTCATCTATTCCTAAGATACAAAAGAATTTTTCTCCGCATAGAGACAATTTAAAGTCCTGTAGGCATGCTTATTAAAAGTTATTGCTTCCAATGGGGATATTTACCCTGGCTCTGATATAACATTGAGGCTGCATTTTTGCTTTTGCAAACTTCCCGTTGTTCTCGAAATGTTGCAATTTAAGAAATTTCCTTTCACTTGGACCTAATTAGACATCATTTTTCTAGAACGAATATCGTCATCAAACGGAATCTTCTTAGAATTGCCCAAGTTGTTTGACAATCCATGAACTAAGTAAGAATTGTATTTGTACTTTTTGAAGAAGCTATCAGTGAATTCATGAATTCCCAGTAATTACTTAACAAAACTAATAACTAACGCACAACTTTGATAAATAGCGTTTCATTAAAGCCAATTTATTACAAATTTCCACGTTAAGTTTATGTTAACAACTGTTAATTCATAGAAGTCGCCAGGAGGGAAGTTAAAAATTTCGCATTCACGGAACATCGTTGTTGTTGGAGGAAATAGTGAAAAATTGCTCAACCTCAAAATGAAAAGAAAATGCAGAACTAATTGGCTTTTTGAGCATTGTAAGCAATCGGCTCGGAAAGATGAATAACCAGCCAGGGGAGATCCCAAATAAGTTATTAAAATCAGATATTGTTATAGATACCATATGGTTGTCACGAGAAATAAAGAATGTTTGTAAAACGTATTGTTTTACTCTTTTTTCATCGTCTCTCAAGTGTATAGTACACATTTGCAAGAGGTACCATTAAGCATTACACGTCTAACGGAGATAAACAGGTGAGGTCATCTTTTCCTACAGTTACCATATAGGCGGCAACGACTTGATAAACAGCTTTAGCCTGGCTTGATGGAGTTATCTTAAGAACTGACTAAGATCTGTGGTTAGAATGAACGGCCGTTTGCAAAATATAACTGGTAACTGGATACTCTGAAAAACAAGTAAAGGTTCGGAATACTCTGAGGTCGAACTAAAACTTTTGATTAACTGCAGTGGCATGTATCGGTGCGAAGTTCACAAACTGTAGTAAGATATCAGTATGTCAGCCCTCATAAAAATATGCGGTTTCTCTTAAAAAAAATATCATAGAAATTATTGAGAACATACGTCGTGATAGACTCCGAACATTTACGAAGAAAATCTTATTGAACTACTAAAGCCCTACGAAAAAAGGAAAAAGTTAGGAATCGAATTGTTACACTCGAGGACCATTCTGCTGCTTCCTTTCTATCACCGTATTAAAGTCCATCCAAGTCCCTGAAAGAAGCTTTTAGCAGAGAGGGTGATTTTAAGTAAGTAAGCTCGCAAAGCGTCTCTCCTTTAAGAAGAGCAGAGAGAATTTTCGAAGCAACCCCTCTCCATTCAAAACTTATAGAGTTAGAAATGGTTTTACAAAGGCTGAGAAAGATGTTTTGTTTTTTAAAGCCGATGATGAAACTTCTGTGGATGTTTGTCATATTGAAGATGGTGGATGGAGGACAAATGGTGGAATTTGATACTTCTGATACCTCGTAAGTGGTGAGCTTTTTCTACAAATAGATATTGTGAATCGTGATCATTTGAATCAGCCTTATGCAAGACCCATGCAAGGTTGCAATAATAATAAATTTGAAAGGTAGAGCTTTGCATTATAAAATAACAACATTGGACGTAAACAGGTTTAAAGTCTTAATAATTGAATACAAGCAGAGTTTGAACTGTTTAGACAATAATGTTATGGGAGCCATTATACTACACCCTTAGTAGTTATGGTAAGTAGATCAGTCAGCTAAAACGATGAGTATGCTATACAATGAACTCGACAGGTTATAACGAAAAGGAATTTTGTTCTACACAGGGCATTCTCCTCCTACATCGACTGCGCACCTAAATTTGCAACGTCCGACAAGATTGAATGTAAGTTCCATTTGAGAAACAACGGCCAACAAGACTATTCTGTGCTGAAATGGCGTACGCCGCTGGATGGACTGAGATCGGATTGCCTGTCAGTCACTTCCAATGGCATGAAGCTACGGTACGATGGTATCCATATAAAGTGCTCCGCCCCAGGCCCTGATCAGTACTTGCTCGTCAAATCCGGACAAACAGTGTCGTCCACCTTTGACGTTTCAGATGCGTACGACATGACTAAGGCTGGCCTGTACTCTATAGCAGTGGACACTTATTTAGAATATGTAAAGGGTAGTGTAACTGAAAAGGCAGTGCGCCAGACTAAGATAGAACATTTATCGTCCCCTGTATTAAGTTATGAAATTGATGAAAAGAATTTTATAAAGGGAACCTCGGGTCAAAGGGCGCGCACTGAAGAAAGCGTGACCAAGGGTGCTTTGGAAGACCATATTTTTCACAGCAGAAGAGGTCAGGACCTGAAGGCATCTCTTAAGTATGTAATAAAGGGAGGGTCCCCCGATGTGAAAAGTGAAACAGAACATGCTATTGTAGCTGTGTACAGAAACATTAAGTTAGCCATTCAAGACCTTGAGAATGATCGCGGAAGAGCTAAAACTTGGTTTGGATCTTCTCCTGCTGATGAACCCAAGTGGGTTTTTGAAAAAATGGAACGAGTATTATCAAAGGATAAAATTACTTACATTATTGATGGAAGAGAATGTGAAGATGGGGACTATGCTTATGCTTACTTTGGAACTCGCAAAGTCTTCCTTTGCGAATTGTACAACAGGGCCGACACACTGATTGGGTATGACACAAAGATGGGGATTATAGTTCATGAATTGGGGCATGCAGTGGCTCGTAGGGATGATCTAGCATACGGCCAAAATGCTTGTAGACGGCTCGCTATAGAAAATCCAAAAGACGCTTTAAATAATGCTGAGAATTACGAATATTTTGTGGAAAGTGGAACAATTCTGAGTCCATAATCAGTTGATGACCTATTAGATACCCTAGGGAGGGGATAGAATGGGGGGGGGGGGGG